TCGCCAATCGGGCCTGTGCTCCAGGGCTGTTGGGGGTCTCCTGGGCCAGGAGCTTGACGGAGGGAGTGGGGTGGGGAGGTTGGAGAGGCACCGGAATCTCTTTCTGCTTGGGGGAGGGGGCGGGCGGACATCAGGAGGGGCCACTGCCCTGCAGATGACCCAGAGCAGAAGACTGGGGGTTGTGGCCAGGGCGGGCTCCACCCGCCCCGACCCTCGCGGCAGGGAGGCCCTGCCCACTGTCGGGCAGGTTCTCGACTTCACCCTGCTTCCCCAAACGTTTCCGGGTGCAAACGCCCCTCTAGGCTGGGGCGGGATGGGGGAGGGGAGCCCTAGAATGGAGTTTTGTTTTCTTCCTCTGGCATCAGGTGCTCAAGTCCAAGCTCCTCCCTCCACCCGCCTCTGGCCCTTCCCTGGCTTCTATTTCCAGCTCTCCTTGGCTATTTATAGCTGCGATGGCCGGCAATTGCGTCAGTCAGGGGCAGGCTTCGGCCGGCGATGCCATCGGTGCCACCAGTCCCCCCACATCCCCCTACCCTTCCTGGGCAGTCACCTGCCCTGCGAGGTCCTCGTCGGAGGCCCCAGGTGTGTGGGGGGCTGGAGTGCGTTCTGCAGGTGCGCTCAGCCTTGAGGGTGCAGGTGCTGGGGCAAAGTGGGAGGGCACTGGACTTGGTCGGGGGAGCAGAATTCCTGGCGGGGAAGGAGTAAGTGCGTCTTCCCCTTTCCTTCCCAGAGCTTCCTCTTGGGAGGTCCCTGGGGACAGGCCACTGTTCTTTGGTTTCACGGTGGTGTCTGCAAAGACTGGGAGAGATGCCCCTGGGCCTAGCACCTGCTCCCCGCCCCCCACCTTCCAGAATGAAGGTCCTTCACTGAGTTCCTCTCCTCTCAACCCCCTACTGAGGCCTCTGTCTCCCCAGCCTTCTCACTCAACTCCAGTTCAGCTCCCATACCCCTTCCCTCCCTGAGGCCACCCCCATCTCAGCCCCTCTGGAGGGGAACATTGAAAGGTTCTGAAGCAAGAAAAGTCTCCCTGCTCAGTTTGGAAGGACCCAAGGGCGTCCATCCATGCACCTGCCTAGTGTTTGGCGAAGTCCTGCCCTGGCATCACCCTGCTTGGGGGTGGGAGGCACACGCATGTTCCCCTCACCCCACCAGGACCCCGTCTAAGCTCTGGTCCTCACAGTCAGGGGCCGCTCGTTTCACAAACAAGCCATCATCACACCTTCAGGGCCTAGTGTCTTCCATAGAGGCTCCTAAGCCAGGAGCCCTATTCTCAGGGACAGGAGCGGGGCCTGGGACTGTGGGCTGCCTTAGAGGTCTAGGGGAATGGTGCCTGAGAGACCAGGAACCAAGCCCGGTCCCAACGTGGCCCCTGACCCTCTAAGGGACATTGACCAAGCCTGTTCCTCTCCCTGGGCCTTGGAGAGGGTCTCTCCTGTGACATCCCACTCCAAGACAGTTAGTATGTGGTTTATTCTGGCCCTCACCCCGGACCAGAAGGCTGTGCTTCATCTGGAGGGACTGCGCCCCCGAGCCCCAGCTGCCTGCAGGGATAATTGAGTTTCCCCATGTGCTCCCACCACCCATACGAGGCATTTGTTGTGAAGCTCTGCTGAGAGGCTCCTAATCAGCCCCTCCTCTCCCACCCTCTGTCCAGGTCCTGCCCCGTGCCCTGTGCCCTTCCAGGGAGGTAGGGGCACCCTCTGCTGGTGTCCATTGTATAGGCCCCTCAAAGACTCCATGGCTTCCCCTTAATAGCAAGTCCTCCCTCCACCTTGCCCCCAAAGAACCACCCTTCTCAGACACTCCCCCAGACCACCTGCCATTCAGAGCCCCATCGAGCTGCACCCTCTTCTCATCAGGCCTTGCCTTGGCCAGAGGCCTTCAGCTTCTGCCTGGCTCCCCGCAGGGCGCTCCTACCTCTGCCCTTTCTCCCACGCTCTGGACCTTTGCAACGTCCTCCTGCCCCACCTGCCCCTCCAAACACAACCTGGCCTTCAGAGCCCAAAACTCTCCTCCTGGAAGTCTTCCTGAGAACTGGCCCTAGCCCTTTCTCCTGCTCAGAGTCTCTTCAGTTCTGAGCCCCGGAAGGGCCTTGATAAGTCCATCCACAGGAGTACAGTGGCAGCTGGCAGGGGTGCCACTGAGACCGGCCTCCCGCTCACTTCCAGGGACTGCTCAGCAGGCAGAGGAATGGTGCCTGAGAGACCAGGAACCAAGCCCAGCCCCAACGTGGCCCGTGACCCTCTAAGGGACATTGACCAAGCCTGTTCCTCTCCCTGGGCCTTGGAGAGAGTCTCTCCTTTGATGTCTCGCTCCAAGACAGTTAGTATGTGGCTTATTCATTGGACATTCACTGCCTTCTGTATGCAAAGACCAGGTTCCCGTCTGCAGTCCAATGGAGAATGGAGCACACAGCTTTAATATAAGACTAACAGAAGTGCAACTAATGCAATATAATATTATTACCCATCCACCTTCGCTCCACCCTCCCTCTCATTTACCCATCCATCCACCTCCTATCCACCCACTTATCCACCCATCCATCCATCTGTCCACCTTCCTGTCCTTCTACTCACTAGCCACCCACCCACTTGTCTATTTATAAATACCCATTTATGTATTCATCCATCCATCCATCCATCACACTCATTCCTCCACCCATTCATCCATCCACCCACCCACCCCACTCATCCCTCTACCCATTCATCCATTTGCCATCCATCCATAATCCATCCATCCATCCATCCATCCATCCATCCATCCATCCATCCATCCATCCACTCACCCAGCCACCCCACTCATCCCTCCACCCATTCATCCATCTGCCCATCCATCCATCCATCCCACTTATCCCCCCACCTATTGATCCATTCATCCACCCACCCCACTCATCCATCTACCCATTCATCCATCTGCCCACCCATCCACCCATTCATCGATCCATCCATCCGTCTACCCACCCACCCCACTCATCC